TCAAAGCCGCCGCCCTCAGCCTGTGGTCACCAGGACTGTCCAGCTAGACAAGCCTCGCCTTTTAGGACATCCTGGTGATCACTGTGGAGGCCCCGTGTGGGGCAAACAGTTAACACACTTGGTTACTAACCAAAAAGTTGAAGGCTTGAGTCCATCCAGAGGCACCTCGGCAGAAAGGCCTGGCAGTTCTACCTTTCAGAACTCAGCTATTGAAAATGCTGTGGAGCACACTTCTACTCACACGTGGGGTCACCGTGAGTCAGAGTTGACTCGATGGCAACTTTTTTTTTTTTTAATTATTACTGCGCTTTACAGTTAGGCACGTACCTGATGGAGACCAGGGCTCTATGGAAGGTTTAGGGAAAAAGTGGCCGCTTGCCTCTGCCCTCAGCACCAGCTGCAGCTCTGCTCCTCACAGTTCTGCTTCTCCCTTGCAGCTCTGGTCACTAGCTGGCAATGTACTCTCTTCTGCACGGCCACTACGCTGTAAGTTTGCACACTTAAGTGTCCTGTCTGAAGCTATTCTTCCAAATGGTTTTAAGCTGTATGTATTTTCGGACTGGTGGTTTACTGCCCCCAGAGTAGCAGCTTGCCCAGCCACAGTCACCTTCCTAAGCTTGCATTACATTACATCCACTCCTCTGTTGCTACTGAGGGGATTAATTTTTATCTGACAACTCTACCATTTTGAATCTTCTTGATCTACTACAGCTACTCTCGTTCTCATCTCACTCCCGTCAGATGGTTGAAGAGATTAGTCAGTGCTCTCCTGCTGAACAGGCTGACAGGCAGCTCCCAAGGACAGAAAGCAAGATGCTACCAGTAGGAGCAAGGACTTCTATTGCCTTTCTTGAAGACAGTGGTTAAAAGTAATCCTTCAGGACAAGAGTATGATGGGAGAACTGATTTTTAGAGTAGGACAGACACTCTAAATTTAAAATCTGTAATAGGGAATACATAAATACACATCACTGTAGCATTTCCGAGACTGGTGGTTCGAACCCACCCAGCAGCTCCACGGGAGAAAGACCTGGTAATCTGCTTCTGTAAAGATTATAATTAAGAAAACCCCATGGGGCAGTTCTACTCTGTCACATGGGGTCGCTATGAGCTAGAATGGACTCAATAGCCCCCAACGAAAACAACATTAATTGTAACCACAACGATCACCTGTCAGTTTGTCGTATCGTGGTGCTTGTGTGTTGCTGTGATGCTGAAAGCTATGCCACCAGTATTTTAAATACCAGCAGGGTCACCCATGGCGGGCAGGTTTCACTGGAGCTTCCAGACTAAGACAGACTAGTAAGAAAGGCCTGGCAATCTACTTCTGAAAATTAACCATTGAAAACCCTATGGATCACAACAGAGTACTGTCTGATACACTGCTAGAAGATGAGCCCCCTAGGCTGGAAGGCACTCGAAATACACAGTGGCCACAACAATGGGCTTGAGCACACCGATGATCATGAAGATGTTGAGGACCAGCCAACATTTCGTTCTGTTGTCCATGGGGTCACTATGAGTTGGAACTGACTTGATGACAACTAACAAAAATTAATTCTAAAAAGTGACCTAGCCATAGTTTTCACAGGCAAAGGCAGATACTGAACTCAAAATGCTAGAATCCGAGGACTGAGCCCATTCTGATGGGAAGGATGGCTGTTTGTCCTGGACAGTAAAGATCCGTCACTGAGTCACTGAGCGTCTATAGGATTCAAGGAGTCAGCTCTTCTCCAAGACCCACCAAGAAGAGTGGGCTCACCATGTGAACTGAGCACAGGAAAGGGGATGTACAGAATGATGTAGGATCATCACAGAGCTTCTACTTTGCACATAGTTATCAGCCACTGGAATAGCACCAGATGTGCTATTAATTCTCTAACATTAGGAATGTTTAAAATTAAATAAAGAAAACAGACCTGAGAGTAAAGGGGCTCTTAGAAGCTTTACATATAGGATAAACTGAGTATAAGTAAGGAGACTGTCATTGACCGGGGTGGGTGCTATGGGTATCTGTCCGGCCCCTATTTCATAGTTAAGATTTGGTTGACTCTCGTGTTTATGAAACATTTATTGTACACTTTTTGTGTGTCAGGAAGTAGGCAAGGCTCTGGTGATAAAGATGACTATGACGCAGACTCTGCCTTACTAAGTTCAGAGCCTAAGAGGAGAAATAGATGTAAAAGGGTGAATGGGATAAGAGCTAAAAAAGGTCTATATGCATTAAAACAAACAAATTGGTCCTAGAAGAAATACAACCAGAATGCTCCTTAGAAGCAAGGATAGTGAGACTTCAGATCACTTACTCTGGGCATGTTATCAGGAAAGAACAATTGCTAGAAAAGGATATCATGTTTGGTAGAGGAGAGGGTCAGTGAGAACAAGGGAAATCCTCAATGGATGGATTGACACAATAGCCTCAGCGATGGACTCGAACACACCGACAATCATGAAGACAGAGCAGGACCGGGCAATGTTCTGTTCTGTTCTACATAAGGTCACCATGAGTCGGAGCTGACTCGATGGCACCTAACAACAAAGTATCATAAGGAGAGTTGGACACTTTAATTTTGAAAAATCCCTTAATTTTTTTCTAGGCTTCTTTTAATGACAATTCCTTTAGCCAAGATGTTGGATCAATCGACTGAATCATCATAAAGATAATGGATGGGACACTTCATAAGCTACAAACTCAAAAACCACTGTTCTTAGTATTCTAAGAAACCACTATTCCCACCATTCTGGGGCACAAGTACCAGGTCTCTGTCCTGACTTTCTGGAAACAGTGTGGCCCAGAACAAAGGGCATCAGAGAATGAGACCAGAAGGCTGATACTATTACTAGTTCTACTGTCTAGCTGGTTCTATTGCTGGATACTTGGACAAGCCACTTACTCTCTTCAAGTCACTTCCTTTTCTGAAAAACTGTGGTTTTTGACTAGCTCACCTCCAAGGTCCTTTCCAACAAAGGATTGTGAGACTCTACTGTAAAAATCTACCCTGAGACACTTCTAGTGGGAGATGGTTTTCGATCTAGGATTTAAATCACTAAATAAATAAAATCTCTACATGAGAAATAAAGGCATTTCCCAGATCTTCGTAGTTATAACTTCAAAACAAACCTGCTACAGAATAATTTTTAGAGGTATAAATGATTGCCAGCAAACTGAAAGAGAGAAGGAACACCCTTACACGCAGTGCAGGACAGTTCTCTACTGGACCCAGCTCTTGCTGTGGGAAGATGCTTAAACAGAGCGAGAGAAGACAGAGGAGGTCGGTAAGTGGACGGCAGAGCGCGCGCCAACCAACGGCTCTAGTTTTCCAAGTCACAGAAGCTGGCATCAGAGTCAACTCAGCCTCCACTCACTTAACAGCAGTCTCCAAAAGCTGAGGTCTGTTCCTGGAATAGCAACTAGCTCTGTTTTTCCTAAAATACTCTTAAACAGTTTCAAGGTTGCTGGGTGTTTTGTTCATGTTTTAGGGAAAAACTATGGAAAAACTCACACACCACAGAGGGAGCAAAGCGAGCAGCAAGCAGGGTTGCCTGGGGTAGCCTGTCCTGGCTCACCCAGCATGCTCTCAGAGTGCCTCCTCACCGAGGTGGCCCTGGAATGTGCCAGACACCACCCCAAGTTTCATCGGGGACCGCATGGTGGGAGGTGGGTGAGGGCGCAAGTCATGACTCAGTGGCCTTGGTGATGTCATGCGATGGGCTACTGACTCATGTTGCCCTTGTTACATCTACTCGGGGGTGGATCAATGGATCAAGTATTAAGCTCTGGGCTTTGAAAAAAAAATGTCCATCAAAAGTTTAAAAAGTTTGTAGGGCTGGATTTTAAAGGCCCAATAACAGTGCTCACCAAGCAAAATGGCTCTTTTGATAATGGTAAGAAAGACAGAAGTTACAGTGTTCCTGTTATCAGCAAGATCCAACATCTCTTGTCACCTCAGCCTGCTCTGTTACTTATTAATGAGGAGAACTGCACACACCCAGGCGTATCTGTAACATGCTTACATTGTCTTACATAAATGGCGATTTTTGATGGGACTCGAGGAAATGTGTAACCATAACAACAAACAAAGAGAACCCAACTGAGTTTATCCCGTTCTCATCTTTACCTTTATACACCAAGGAGTCCCTGGGTGGTGCAAACTGTAAATGCACTCGCTGCTAACTATAAGGTTGGAGGCTCTTGTCCACCCAGAGGCACTTGGAAGATAAGCCTGATGATCTACTTCCGAGAAATCAGCCACTGAATACTCTACGGAGCACAACTCCACCCGGACACACATGGAGGTGCCATGAGTGAGAGGTGACTCGATGGCAGCTGGTTGGTATAAACAAACGTTATGTTTTTTGCTACTGTTGTAAATGTTATAAGCAAGCCTTAATAATGTACCATGTGCTCTGGATGATACAGCACGTAAACACTTTCTCCGTGTTTTCTCAACATCACCCTATACGTGTGAGTTGCCCACGGGCGTGTAACAAAGGCAGACGGGTGTAGGTTAGCTAGGCTGCGCATACAGCTGCTGCCCATCGTGGGTAATCTCCTTGCCTGTTCCCAGCTGCGTCCGCAGCAAACCGCACAGGGCCTGGGATCTAGTGAGTATTTGTTGAATGATAACTAAGTAGCATACCTCCGCAGAAATGTAACTAGGAAAGGCACATTTTAACAGAGAAACAGAAATAACCCCAATTACATTTGGAAAAGGGACAGGGATGGTTATAAAGTAGACTCTGGATGTTTGAAACGGGCTGGAAATTATTCAGCAAGACACAATTAAGAATCAAATCATGGGCAGTCTGCCTTTCTTCAGCGTTTAAGAAGCCCTGAAAAAGGCCAGAGGTGACGCTGTATTCCCAGACCCACTGCCCTCCTCGAATGAAAACTTCGTATTTTGGGAAGAAAATGTTCTGAGGAGGTTGTTGCTGAATCTCCACCACATTATGGAACACACGATCGCTCCCTTTAAAACAGCAATTTCCCCTTTCCTTACCGTCAGCGACAAGGCCATGCAGACGAAGGTGAACTTCTTGATGTGGGCCGCCGTGACGGTGTTGCTGGCGTTCACCAGTTTGTTGCTGGGGTTGTTCTAGGGATAAGGGAAAGGACAGCAGTGATGACTGGGCTCAGGGTTACCCTCAGCCGACCACGTGTGGATCTGCAGGAGCAGCTCATTTTTGTTTCATTTGATGCATCTGAAGGACAGACTTCAAATGACAGCTCGGAGGACGGCTGTCACATTGAGGCTCTCTCAGACAGCTGTCAGGTTTCTTGTGCACGACTATTAACCAACCAGAGGGGATTCTAGACTGAATGCCCTGGGCAACCTCCGGAACCAGCCCTCCTCCTTGGTGCTGGGCTGCCCATGTTGCCTGGTCCAGGGCTCTGGCTCTGAAGCTTGTTACCTGCCCCATGTGTCCCCTCTTGGCCCCACAGGACCCTGCGTCCAGCTACCACAGACAACTCCCTAAATGCCATGGCCCTTCTCAGTGACTTTCGGGGCCTTTCCTCCCCTCCAAAGTGGCATAAGCTCAGCCGGGCACTCCAGGCGTTCTTCAGTGTAAAGCGGACTCACTCTTCCTACTGTCACACTCAGCCCATATTCTGGTCCCTGCCAAACGGAACATCTTGCTCTTCCCCTAACACACCTGTGCTTTCATTTCTCTGTGTTTCTTCTGTTCTGCTTCCCCTACTGGATCTTCTGACCTGCAAACACACCCCTCTCTTCCAGGCCCACCTGTTCCTGAAAGCCTCTCTGATCTCTGACCTCCACACCGACTCTGGGCCCCACTTCCTGTAATAGCCGGCGTCCTGGACCTCTCTGAGGGCAGGTATCGCATCCTATCCTGCATTCAGTAGGGCACGTGTTCAAACCCCCCTGCAAGCTAAAGGACTGTGGGTCCTACCCATCTCTTTAGCCACTGCAGCACTTAACACACCTTTTCTTGAGTAGACAAGGTGTATTTGTTATACTGAATTTTAAAGCAAACAAAATGGCTGAGAAGGCCTCTTCCACATCTCTCCAAACCTGAGGCCATCACGGCTCCATGCTGAGCCCGCCCAGCTCCCACTCAGAGTGCCTGGCCACTCAGGCATGAACATCAGGGAGAATAATAACCCCCGCCTCATTACGGATCCAATTAGTTCTGGGGCTGAGTAACAAAAACAAACCCCGCGCACCTGGCTCCACACAGCACTAATGAAGGACACGGTGGCAGAGCCATTACATGTGCACTTGGACAGCGCTCTGACTTGTCCTCTACTAGGAGGCTGAGGCAATCTCTCTGGTCCCTCCCCCTCACCAGGGCCACCAGCTCGAACCCAATTTCACATTTTAACTCTAGTCTCTAAAGCAAGGGCCCGTGGTGGTGCAAATGGTTGGCCCTAGACTGCTAACCTAAAGGTTGGAGGTTTGAACCCACCCAGGGGTACTGTGGAAGAAAGGCCTCGCAATCTACTTCCATTACAATTACAGTCAAGAAAACCTTATGGAACAGTTCTATCTGTAACACGCGGGGTCTCCGTGAGCGGGAATCGACTTCTTGGCAGCCAACCACAGTCTCCAGAAAGTATCTGTTTTCTGAATAACAGACTGCTGCCACCACAGAGTAAAAGTCGCAGTGGGCAGGAGATCTCCGTGTCCATTTCAGCTCAGGAGTCTGACGGGTGGGGAGCGCCTGGTGGTGAGACAAAGAGACCACCCTGGGAGGGGTAAAGCAGCCTCACAAAAACCCACACACTGCCCAGGTGAGACGACAATGAACTACCACCTCTTCAGGTGCACTAAAACCCAATGCCGTCGAGTCAATTCTGACTCACAGCGACCCTAGAGGACAGGGTAGAACTGCTCCACGGAGTTGCCAAGGAGCGGCTGGTGGATTTGAACTGCCGACCTTTTGGTTAGCAGCCGAGCTCTTAACCACTGCGCCACCAGGGCTCCTCAGGCGCACTATTCCATTTTAAAATAGCAAACGTTTCTGCAAATACGGCCGTAATAAACGAGAACACATTATTAGATTAGCATCTGTGTTTCGGTTTGTGTGCCCAATCTGCTCAGAAACACACTCTTTCCTAGACGATAACTGAAAATGAGCGAGAATTTGCACTAGAGGAAGTCTCTCTCAGTTCATATTTAGCTAGAACCATCAGAAGTTATGCAGGAAAATTTAACCATCTTATTCTGGAGCCCGGAAACCCTGGTGGTGTATTGGTTAAGTACTATAGCTTCTAACCAAAAAGTCGGCAGTTCGAATCCACCAGCCACTCCTTTGGAAGCCCTATAGGGCAGTTCTGCTTTGTCCTGTAGGGTCACTATGAGTCAGAATCGACTTGAAGGCAGTGGGTTTGGGGATTTTTTTTGTATTCTGGAGCCCAAAAAGAAGCCAAGGATTTCAACTGTCAATGTAGCAAATCCTGGAAGTGCACACCAAAAAAACCCAAACCTGTTGCCATCAGGTCAATTCTGACTCATAGTGACCCTATAGGACAAAGCAGAACTGCCCTATAGGGCTTCCAAAGGAGTGGCTGGTGGATTCGAACTGCCGACTTTTTGGTTAGCAGCTGAGCTCTTTACCGCTGCGCCACCAGGGCACACAGAGGGGATCTAAAACATTGGCGAACAGACACTATTCACACAAGTGGCTGGGGGGAGCTCACCGGCAGGCCTGGAAGCAAAGGGTGGGGGGCTTTCAAAGGATTCCGAGTAACTCGAGTTTCTGCCTGGAGGTACGCACGTTAGAGGAATTTTTTCTTTGCTCCTAACCTCTGTCATCATGAATAAGACAATGTTTTTCTTGGATGCTTCTTCTGAAACTGTACAGGGTTGTATTGTTAAGTTTTATTATTTCGTGGGAACCAAAACCAATTTCAGATGTGACTTTCACAGCCAGGACGTTCTAACACCTTAGTACTGGCTCTTCTCTTCAAGTTTTATTACATAATCTTATCCTCCAAGAGCTAGAATCGAAATTTAGCGGGCAGACCTATCGCCAGTTTGAATTTTCCAGGATTTTTTTCTATACTCATGTTCCTTAAAAATAAAACACGGGATTCTATCACTAGATTGAATGGAACACACTCAAACATGGAGGATCAGCTCTCCTGAAAGTGACTCACGCGTCCAGGCATCCACTCTCTAAGGTCTGTGAGGCAGGAATCAAAGCCATTTTTACAACCAAATGTTTACAGCAGGTTTTGGACCCTAACTCAGAGTCTACTGCAGAAGTTCCACATGTAGCCGAGTCTGGGCAAGACCACTACCCCGTCTCATGCCAGGCTGCAGGGTGGGAATCCCTGTGGTTCTGAGGTGAACTTGTATGTGTGGTTGAGCAGAGGTGGGAACAGAGAAGGTAGGTGATAGAGATGAAGGGTAGCATGGGGGCCGGGAGAGTGTGAGCAGAGGTGTAGTGTGTGTGTTTGCATGAGCTTGCACTAGCGGGGAAACTCTGCCTGTGGGCCCTGGGAGCAGAGAAGGGGGAGTACTGACAGTGGAGGACATCTTTTCAGACCTGATCCCTGCCCCCACCTCATCCCTGTCAGAGTTGCTCATGGGATGTGCTCGGGTCACGGTGAGGGTGGGGAGGGGGGCAGGTCAGACACCCCTCCTGGCCCTCACTCCACAGATCTCACCCCCTCCCAGAGGCCTACACACAGCTCAGAGTGGCCTTTCCAATGCTGGTGGCCGTGTGAAGGAAGTAGGAACTCCTGCAGTCTGTGGCTGGCCTGGATTTGTGTGGCTTTCCAGGATTTCACGTGCCCGTGGGGTGTCCGGAAAGAGGAAGGGGGAAGCCCAGCGTGAGCCAGGCTCAAGGCCACAGGGCCCAGTCTTCCGTAGTGGATCTGCTGGGATGCCTGGCAAGGTTTCCTTGCCTCACCTCACAGGACTCTTGCTGGGAGAAGATACACTGGTATCAGCGACGCTCTGAGTTAGTTCCATAGGAATCCAAGGCAAAGCAGTCGGTATTCCTAGTACACATGCCAGGGAGTCTCATCTTTCCTAGTTTTCATTAGAAGACACTGTATAATCACTTTTCTTTTTTCCTTTGGTATGCTTTGCCAGTCATTCATTTTAGGCTAAAAGTCTACAGGTTCAAATAATTAAGCTTTAATTAAATATACATTTATTAAATGGCTGGTGGGACATCAGACCCTGCCACAGGCTGCAGGTCAGGTTATGCGGCTCCTGGGCTGTGTGTCAGCAGGGGCGGGGGTGGGGGGAGGGTTGGGGATAGAGCTGCTGTTCACAGAGGCTTTCAGCTGGAGGAAGTTGGCCAGACTGAAACCAAACTGGACCCAGGCCTGCTGGGTGGGCATCCCGTGTGGGCATGCACACCACCACACCGACATGCCTCTGAGCTCAAGCCCACGACCTGGGGTCTGTGCTGGCAAGAGGCCTTCAGCTGAAGCAGGGGGCATGCAGTCAGTGAGCTAGTGCTGTAACTGTAAGAACCACAGAAACAAAATCCACACTAAAAACCATTTTTGGAGAGCTTATTTTCCCTTTGGCAAACAAATAATTTCTCAACTGGAATATCCTAAAAGTGACGATGGGGAGATCAATTTGGAAATGTGTTACAGGAGCGGCATCGACGTAAGCCTAAATGCGCTTGCGTTATTTCTGGAGGAAAAGATTCCGCGATTGCCTTCAACATCGCCAAGCATCATATTGATCTGATAAAGGGAAGTGAGAGTGAAAATGTCACCACACTCCTCACCAGTGACCCAGACGAGTGTTTCAGACATCACACCACATGGGTGCTCACCTTGTCAAAAGCAGGATAGACAGCGCGGATTTCCGTCAACCAGCCATATGGCATGTGACCCACGGGGTACGTTGCTGTCAAAATCGCCACCGCCTGCAACAGGAAGAGTCAGTGGAGTTAGAATCTGCATCAGCAGAGAGCACCTCCAGTGCGGCCGTCAGCTACGTGACAGCGAGATCAGCAGAGAGCATCTCCAGTGCGGCCGTCAGCTACGTGACAGCAAGCGGCTTCAGGTGTGGTCACCACTGACAGTTCCCCCCATGCTGGGTGCTGGTGGGCCAGTCCCAGGACCTGCGGGAGGGGGTAACACTAATATAGAGCTGTGCCCTAAGGTGCAATTGTGGGCTGTCTGCAGACTAGTGCCAATGGAGTGGACCTCAGAAAAGGGAGGATGCGTCTTGCTTTACGAGAATCCAATGAGACAGGCTCGGAGAGCTGGCTCAGAAGGCAAGATTTCAACCCAGGTCCACCACACTCCAATATCTTAGTCTAGCCCAATTCTTTTTTTTTTTTTAAATGTTACTGTGTTTTAGGTGAAAGTTTACAGTGCAGATTAGTTTCTCATTCAAAAATTTATACACAAATAGTTTTGTGACATTGGTTGCAATCCCTGCAGTATGTCAGCATTCTCTCCTTTTCCCTTTCCATCCCGAGTTCTCCGTGTCCATTCGTCCAGTTTTCCTGTCCCTTCCTGCCTTCTTATCTTTGCTTTCGGGCAGGGGTTGCCCGTTTGGTCTTGGAGACTTATCTAACAAGCACATTCCTCACGTGTGTTATTGTTCGTTTTATAGGTCTGTCTAATCTTTGGCTGAACGGTGGACTTTAGGAGTGGCTTCAGTTTTGAGTTAGCAGGGTGTTTGGGAACCACAGTCTTGGGGGTTCCTTCAGTCTCTGTCAGACCAGCAAGTCTGGACTTTTTTTGTAAATTTGAATTTTGTTCTACACTGTTCTGCTCTGTCTGGGATCCTCTATTGTGATTCCTGTCAGAGCGGTCGGTGGTGGTAGCCAGGCGCCATCTAATCTGCTGTCTAGCCCAATTCTTCAGTCTCAAATGAGATGTGGAAGCCTCCCTACTCTCTGGATACCCTTCGTCTGGTGTCCACCTCTGTTCTCCATCCCATCCTCAGGGTAGCTAACGTTACGTGTTTGTCTATGGCCTTGTGACACTCCCAATTCAACTCCTTCCAACTGGTTCAATTAGAATAGCCCACTGGTTTTTAATTTAAGAAAATTAAATCCTTCTTACATGAAGCTATTAATTTTTCTCCCCATGGAAAGGAGTTTCTTTTCTTATGCGAATTAAACAAAAAAAAAACAACAAAAACTTCAAACCTACATTGTGGCAGAGTTCAACTCTGTCTCCTAATGGCCATGCCCAGCAGTGCCAGGAACGTGAGGTAAGCCCGAGCTGGGTGGAGAACTTGCTGGTGTGGTGTGGTGGAGGAGAAAAGGCTGTGGCCCCAGGCAGACCTGGATTCCCTTCATCACTTCCTAGCTGTGTGAGGCAGGACCTCTCGGGTCTCCCATTCCTCAGAAGAATGACGAGAATAGTCATACCCACTGTACAGAGTTGTCGGGGCACGACATGTACGACATGTACATAAATGTTGGCCACATAAGCAGATGATCCATAAGTGTTGGTTCTCCACCAAACACGTGCCTCTGTGCCCTTGAGATTAATTTAGAAACTACTTTAATATATAATTTGCCCCAATTTTTATTTTATTTCTTTCAGGGAAGATGGACTCCTAGCACACAGATGACGGGGGTCATATTCTCCCTTCTGGGCAACTAAAACTCAAGTCCTCAAGTGAAAAAGTGGCTGTGTTGCAGAAGCCACCCAAGATGACGTTCATGACTCAAAAAATAAAATCCAGGAACAAACTGAGGCAAGAGTGAGCGTTCTGCTTTTGATTTATGTGCTTCTCTTTCCAAGCCAGTATGAGCCGCTTCCCAGGACATGGAAACTGGCAGGAGACCCAGGCCAGAGACTTGCTGACGGCGCATTCATGACTCGCAGCTGCTCCTTCGCAAAGCACCGTGTAAACAGAAGGCCCTCCGAGCAGCCACCGGCCTTCCGTCACGATCAGCAGTCCCAGGGACAGACTGAATTCTCCAGAGGGCAGTTGTAGGAGGAAACAAAATGAAGTCATTCTATTTGTTCATGCCCTACTTGGAGGAGGGAAAAAGTGATTCAGATCTCTCTTTGGAGTAGCTGCCAGTTTTGGGATAGATTTCTTTGAGTTCTGAGTGGCTACATAAAGAAGATCCTCATGTGGATGAGGGCAGATTGCTAAAGAGCACATGAAGTCATGACAGGTTGGGTGGTATGGAAAAGGTGTGGAAAGAAAAGGTGTGAGGAGGCTGGGTCAAAATAGAGGCCCCAGCCCTTCACCCACGGATATTTTCATTTCATCTGCTGCCACGTGGCACATTCCACCATCCACTGCACCTGCAGTCAAGTGGTGACAGGCTGAGTCCACGGAAAAAGTGGAGGGGCCGCTGGGTGGGAGTCAGAGAACCTGGATCCTCAAACTAGCCCAGCTTCTAGCTAGTTTGGGGTCCCTAACCTTCCTGTACCTCAGTTTCCTCATGGTAAAAGGATGGACTAGATAAGCATGTAAGACATTAAGACAGTCAATGAGCTCCTCACAGCTTCTTAGTATGAATGTGTCACATAATTTAATATCATGGAATTATTTGAGCTTTCAAGATCAACTGGAGACAAATTTGTAAGGACACCTCCCCTTTCAAAGTGCCCACATCCCCAGAAACTGCCCTACCTCCGTAGCTGCAGAACTGCCGCCAAGGTCACGGGAAACAAAGAGGTTAACAATGGGCCTACTGATTCTCTGTGTAGCCAAGATGAGGGCCAAAGGCCACCAGAAGCTCAGCATCTTTCTGATTGTTGCATCTCCCTGTGTTGAGAAATGGAGATAAAAGTTTACTCAAGAGGCAGAACAGAAAAGAAAAATTTAAGAGCCAACGCCTTTCCTTTTTTGGTCAATCATCAGTCAATTCACTATTAAAAATAAGATAAAGAAAAGCCTCTATAGACAAGCCAAGCTGAATTAAAATAAATCGTACAGCTTTATTAGAAATTAACTCAGACGGCTGGCAAGTGACTGTGAAATCAAAACACAATGTTTAAGCATAACAGAGCCACACTTTGTTTTTTTTTTTTTTTTGTATAAGGCAACTCTAAGTAAGGTAAGATTCAATGCCATGGGCCGAGAAACAGGTCTGAAATTAGTCTTTGTTTAAATGATCAAACTGACTGGTTAGAAGCCAAGTCAGTAGGAGGTAACTCTCAGAAATTTAAAAAAAAAGACTGTAATTTATTTTGGAATCTGTGAGCACCTCTAAATGTGCCTAATTATATGGGCACCGTATGAATCTACTACAGTGGTTCTTACTCTCAAAGCTCTATCAGGAGTCACGTCAATGGTTCAGAAGAATACGCAAAATAAAAGTGGGCTAAAGGAAAATCAATTTATTATGCAACTTTGGTTTTGATTCCTCATGAGGGTAGGAAATACATCATGGAACCCTCTCAGCCACTTTCATTTGTTCTCCTTTGCTGTTGACTAAACGTTGGCAGATAGGCTGTCAAACCAATTTGATGTGGTTGTCCTAGTGATGGAAATAACTAGATGGGATTTTGTTGATGGCCTGGCCTCAGATGGATGTAAGTGGTCAATAAATACAATTACTGCACTGACATGATGAAAGTCACATGTGGTCAAAGGTGGATCCAGAGGGTGGAGGGTGGCTATTTATTTAGGGCTGTAGATCATCATTCCTATCTGCCTTATAGCTAGATGGAAACAAACTCAAACGATGTCTAATACCTATGGGGAGAAAAAATTAACACTAAGATCAGACGCGGTTTGCACTTAGGATGAAAAGAATGCTTTGGCCACTTATGTTAGATTATGCCTTCCTTGTATCTCATTCAACTTTCCAGGCATGGGTCAAGCTCTACCTCCTCCAGGGCAGCTTCCTGGACTGCTGCAGCCTATAACAGTATCTTCCTTCTCTCAGCCCAGTGGCTCTTGTATTCTCATTGCACTTTATGTGCGGTCTTGGATTCATTTCTATTTGTTGCTTCTTTGTTGGTCTTATGTGTCAAATGAGACTCAAAGCTGCTTAAGGGCAGATACCATATATTAAAATGTTCTGTGTCCTTCTACGTACGTAACGCTCTACTTGGTCCATAGAAGGCACCTGAATAGAGATTGAGATTGAACAGTATGTACAAAGTATAAACTAAGCCTGGATCCCTGCTGTGAAATTTGAAATATATAAAATGTGAATTCAAGGGTGTCAACCAAAAAAAAAAAAAAACCAAACCTGTTGCTGTCAAGTTGATTCTGACTCATAGTGACCTTATAGGACAGAGAAGAACTGCCCCATAGTGTTTCCAAGGAGCAGCTGGTGGATTCGAACTGCCGACCTTCTGGTTAACAGCCATAACTCTTAACCACTGCGCCATTAGGGCTACTCAAAGGTGCCAGGATCCTAAAATCTTTGCTGACTACAGAATAACTTACTTTTGACAACAGAGAGTAGGAAGAATCACGAATGTCGTTTCTGTTCCTTGGCCTGATATGACTCACTGTGCCTCAGTCTCCTCATATGAAGATAAGAAGGCTGAGTAATGACTTCTAAGATCTCTTCCATGTCTAGAATTTGTTAGTTCTCCAACTGTTCTTCCTGTGGATGCTACCTAGCACTTGGCTTTTGGGTATGCTTATCATACTGAGTCCTCACTGTACAGAGGGCTGGAGTCAACTTATATTTCTACTCTGAATGCACTGAGAGGTTGCTGTCATGTTGGTGGAGACATACCCCCAGCTCTGGTCCGCTGCGGTCAGGGATGATGTCGTGAATGTTCCTGTAGTAACCCAGGCACAGGGTGGTGCAGCGGACGAGCGCGCCCATGTACAAGGACAGGATTGGAATGAGCAGAGGCTCTCTGCATTCCAGGTGACTGTGCAGCAAAATGGCCACAAAAACAACCTAGAGATGGGGAAACAGGGACAAGTCACAGGGAGAAGACAGAACCAACTGCACGAAGCACAGGCCTACCCTCTGGAACCCAGGTGAGACATATCACTGAGCGAAAACCTCAACTCTGGTGCAAAAAGACCCAAAGGTGGGCTCTGACTCAATGCTGCTCTTGTATAATTCAGGTTCAGACATTTGGGATCTCCCACAAAAGCACCCCAATTGCTTTGTTAAATCCACCACTAAGATTCTTTTAAGGTAACTGCACATCTGGTTAAGGTTATCACTGGAAAAAGTCTAGAAACTTTGGAACTTCTCCCCCTAAATGTAGCAGAGCTTTTCCCTGCTGAGGCTGGCAAGCTGAGGTGCACATGTAATTCACCTCTGAAAGGACATAAGTTACTTTCCACAAAGGAAAAAACAGTGTTGATCAATGAAGGCAGAAAAATGGACAATAATATTTATAAGGTCAATTCACTAAAAATGCAAAAATACAGACATTAATTATTAAAATGTCAACTATTAACTTATGAAAGTGTAAGTTGAAATAACCAGAGTCAGGAGAGACTGAATTAATAATAAAGTGTCAATCTCTATTGGTCAGTAAGTCTTTAGGGCAAATTCAACACTGTATCAACCGCTCAGTCCTGCGGAAACCGGAGAATCAGCGCAGACTTTGTCCGTGGTCCTTCTGGACCGTCGGAAGACCGCTGATGCACGCTGAGCGCAAAAGTAGGGAAGTGGATGTGGGCACTCCTGAGCTAGATCAACCTTAACAACCAAATAATTACAGGAAAATAGGCGTGTAGAATACAACACCGAGTGACCCAGCGCAAAGGAGGATTCTCCCGATCGTTCTATTACCAAGAAATCAGTAGACGAAAAGTAAAAAAAGAAGCAGGCAGATGAATGTGATTTTCTGGTATCAGTACATTAACTGTGACACAGCACAGAGAGCAGGAGAATGCCCCTGAAGGAAATAAAGTATTAGGTGCTAGAGGCAATTTGTTCCCAGCACAGATGGACATGTGGGCCCAGGCTGTCATTCTTAAACCCAGTCAATGAGACGGAGCTGGACACAGACGTCCTCAGGGGACTTGAGCGGCCAGACAGAGGTGCTGCTTTGCTGTGTGGACACAAGGCTGCTGGGAGCACAGCAAGGTGAGCGGTCATAGGCTGGGGTGGCACTCACATGCCAAAGCCCACTCCCCCACCACGGAAACAGCAGAACTCAGTGATGGAGACAAGATGCATGACTCCCCCCATGCTTGCTGCTTCCCAGAGGAACCACTGTAATCTATTTGCTGAAAGACGTCCCGGAGGAAGCCTCCCTAAGGACACAACTGTTTTTGGAATAAAAGATTGAGATTTCTGTGACATGGTCAAGATCCCCATTTACTCATCAAACTAATTAAAGGCCTTTATGGTACTCTTGCTTCATATATGCATACTCTGAGTAAATACGTCTGCAGTAAGCTTAACATTTAACATATACAAAACACACAATGAAAAACTAAGATGATTATGATGAAAGACTGAGAGCTAGATGAAAAATGAACGCACAAAGATCAACCCCTCCTCTGTTGTCCAGAAAAGCCCGCGGAGCCGGAGCCGAGGTGTCAGAGGTGGGCTTGGCAAGACAGCAGCCTGATCAGCAGGACCAAGAAGGGGGATTGAGACCTGAAGGAAATGGAAGACTTGGGCAAAAGAAGTGTGGAGACAAGACAATGGCAGAGTGGGCCAGAGCAGAAAGGAAGGAGGTTGGGACTGGCTCAGCCATGTTACGGGTGAATTGTCTCCCCCTCAAAAGATAGACTGAAATCCTAACCCCTGCATGAGTAAACGTGACCCTTTTGGGGGAAGTAGAGGTTTTCTTTGCAGATCTTATCAGTTAACGAAGTCATACTAGAGTCCCACTGCCAATTCCGACTCATAGTGACCCTGTAGGATAGAATAGAACAGCCCCATAGGGTTTCCAAGGCTGTAATCTTTACAGAAGCAGACTGCCACATCTTTCTCCCAAGGAGTGGCTGTAGGTTTGAACCACTGACCTTTCAATTAGCAGCCTGGTACTTTAACCACTTTGTCACCAGGGCTCCTTATACTGGAGTCGAGGGGTCCTACTCCTAATCCGTTCTGGGTGGTGACTCATAAAAGAGGACAGACATGGAAACAGAGTCACACACAGGGAAGACAGATGCCATGCAATGAATGATGAAGGCATCTAGAGCAGCAAAGGAATGCCAAGGATTGCCAGCAGCCACCAGAAATTAGAAGAGACACGTGGGATAACTCCTCCCTCCAAGCTCCCAGAAGGAATCAACATGGCCGATACCCTGATTCAGGCTCCCAGCCTCCAGAACTGTAAGACAATACATTTCTCTTCTTTAAAACCACCCGCTCTGTGGTACTTTGTTAAGGCAGCTCTTGGAGACCAAGACAGCCAGGGGCACTTCCAAGGTTAAGGTTTTGCTAGCTTCTCCCTGCATTTTAATCGTTCAGTGCCACGCAGTCCAGCATATCAAGTATCATAGCTCTTACACCTTCACTGTGGATTGTATCGCTTATCAATTTAAAATAACACTTGGGTCTTTTGAATTTTGACCCGGAGTTAAGATTTTTGAATCTGATACAGCTGTCAAGAACATGTCGGATTCTTTTCTGAAGGGAATCTCCTGTCTCAGGGAGGAGGATTTTCCCTGAGAGCCTGTGATGGGCCAGGCACCATCCCAGGTGATGGGGATTCAACAGTAGATTAAATCTTCACAGACTCTGTGATCCTGGAGCTGGAAGTCTAGTGGAGGAGGTGGGCATGTTAATCAGACAGTGATGCCAGCGGTCCACCAACAAACTGTGCTGTCCTCTGTGAGGACGGAGCGTGGCACCAGGGGAGCCAGGCTGTGGGGTGAGGGGCAGCTTCTTGTGCAGAGCGAGTGGGATGAATGGTGGCCCTCAAAAGATATGCCCACATCCTCATCCCCAGAACCTGTGAATGTGCCCTTATTTGGAAAAAGTGTCTCTGTAGATGTAATGAAGTATCTTGAGAAGAGGTTATCCTGGATTTTGGGTGGGCCCTAAGTCCAGTGACAGGTGTTGTTGAAAGACAATGGCAGGGGGAGATCTGAGACGCAGATACACAGGGAGAAGGCTGTGTGAAGACGAGGCAGAGATTTGAGTGAAGCAATTACAAAGCCAAGGAGAACCAAGGATCACCAGCAGTCACCAGGAGCTGGGAGAGAGGCCTGGAACAGATTTTCCTCAGCTCCTCCAGAGGGCTCAACCTTGCCAACACCTTGATTTTTGGACTTCTGGTCTCCAGAACTGCAAGGGAATAAATTTCTGTTGTAAGCCACCTAGTTTGTGGTGATTTGTGATGGTAGCCACAGGGAACTACTCCCGAGAGAGCTGAGAGGAGACCTACAGCCTGAGCAGGCGTCAGCAGGAGTTGGCGGAAGGTGGGGAAGTTGAGGCAGAGCATTTCCTTCTGGTGATCCAATGGTTGCGTACTCAGCTGCTAACTGAAAGATTGGCAGTTTGAACCCACCCAGCTGCTCTGGGGGAGAAAGACCTGACGATCTGCTCCTGTAAAGATTACAGCTGAGGAAACCCTATGGTGCAGTTCTACTCTGTCACGTGGGGTCATCGTGGGTCAAAAACAGACTCCAGGGTACCTAACAACATCTTCCTCTGGGCAGAGGGAGCAGCACTTACAAAGACCCCCCGTGGGAGGGGCAGAGCCACCCTGAGGCCCTGAAAGAGGACCTGTGACAGGTGTGCAGAGAACAAGGGTTCTGGAGCAGAGTGTGGGGCTGGAGAGGACGCAGGCCCGTGGGTCTTCAGCACCGGTGTCGGCCATGATCTAGATCTCGGCTTTTCATCTCAAGGACACCAAGAAGCTATTTTTAGGAGACCTGGTGGCACAAACGGTTAAGCGCTCAGCTGCTAACAGAAAGGTTGGTAGTTTGAACCCACCCAGCGGCTCCACGGGGAGAAAGACCTGGCAGTCTGCTTCTGTAAAGATTACAGCCAAGAAAACCCTTTGGGACAGTTCTGCTCTGTCACATGGGGTTGCTATGAGTCGGGATTGACTCCTTGGCACACAACAACAACAAGAAGTAGGGGGTGAGGAGGCCAGAAATCCTCTGGGAATTGATCCTGGTGGCCAAAGTGGGACAGCTGGAGGAGAGGCAGGGCAGATGGGCGGGAAAGAGGAGGCTTCGGTAATAGTCCAGGTGGGAGAGGACCAGCCCTCGGAGGCGGGTAAGGGCGGCAGAAATGGGAGGAACTGGGCAGATTAAAGAGAAATCTAGGACTAAAACCTCCAAGGCTTGGTGATAACGAGAGAAGCTCTGAGGGCAGCTCCTTGGTCTGAGCAGCTGGTCATACTGTGGATTCCGAGATGGGGACTCAAGGATGAAATGCTTCATAGAGAAGACTGTTAATTCAGGCCTTTGATGTATGGAAGTGAAAATGTCAGAAACACAGTTTGGAGCTCAGAGGGGAAGGCTATTGTTAGTTGCCATGGAGTCTATTTTCGACTTACAGCGACCCCACGTGACAGAGCAGAACTGCCCCATAGGGTTTTCTAGGCTGTAATCTTTACAGGAGCAGATCGCCAGGTCTTTCTACTGTGGAACCACTGGGTGGGTTTAAATGGCCAACCTTTTGGTTAGCAGCCAAGTGCTTAACTGTTAACGCCACTAGGGCTCTTTAAGCTACAGATACTTACTTGGAGATCATAAATCATGTTATGGATGGTATAAACCTAGGGCATGAATTAGAGTCTTCATGAGCAAAACACAGAGTGAGAAGAGAGGAAGAGCTTCAACATTTACAACATTTACGGAGGAGGCTGAGCCTGCAGAGGAAGAAGAAACACCAGGACTGCAGTGCTGAGGACCAGTGGCAAGGGGTGCCTCACGAAGGGGGCAGCGCTCAGTCAGGGAGAGCTGTGACAGGCCATGTCAGATAACGGAAGCCGCGCTGGACTTAGTGGCATGGAGGTCACTGGTAAGAACCATGTGCGTGTGAACGACGGGGTGGAAGCCAGCCTCGAGGAGGTAGAAGAGTGAGAGGGAAGTGAAAAAACAGCCGCAGTGAGTAGAAACCACTCTTCCAAGAAGTTTGGCTCTGAAGTGATAAAGAGAGAGAGCTGTCACTGCAGAGGTATGTGGGATCCAGAGACGGCTTATCATCTTTGTTGCTGCTGTGTTAAGATGGTGGGTATCTGAGCATGCTGGCATGCCAAGACAAAAGATCCAGGAGAGACAACGGGTCATTGATAATCCATTAATTATCAATGGATTATCAAAGCAGGACAGGGCAGGACCTAAGGCGCAGGGGGAGCATGGCCCTGCTGGGAGGAAGACCACCGCCTCTCTGACAAGGAGGGCAGAATGGGGAGGATGCATGGATTCGAGGGGAGGCTTGGTGGTTGGGTGGCCGGAAGCTGAAGAATTTGTTGGCTTTAATTTTTCCAGAGAAGTGGGAAATGAGGCCATCTGTTGGAAAGTGTGCGGTGGGTAGAGACCCTCTGAAACAGTTATTACAGAGAATCGAGTGACGTGAGAGACTAGATTCCGAATTGATGGTTTGATCAGTTTGTCGTGCTGTGTAACCTTCTGCTGGAGCACTTGCTACCTGGGGCAGAAGGTGCAGAACAAGGGGCTGGTTCAGGACTGGGGTTTTGCCAGAAGGCTGAGAGGAAGCAAAGGAGCTAGAGCAGTGCAGGAGGACTCCTAGGCTCACAATCCAGGGGTCGCAGCTGAATTCAGAAGGCGGGGTCTAATGACAGCGGGTAGGTCAAAGGCTGGAGGTCCTCGTGAGGTCAAACACCCTCCAGGAATCTTTGTTTTGATATGGAGTCCAGACAGTCAAGGAATAGTACAACAACAGCAATAACTTCATTAATCCCTCGGCATGTGACTATTAACAATAATGGTGGCAGAGAAAAGTACTGCCTGTTTGGACCAAACCAAGAGCTTTTTTGTACTGCTGACTCAGGAGTGAAATCAATTAATTTTGTAAAATTAAAAGGAAAAAAAAAAGTTGCCACTGAAATCTGAGGCACTGTAAACTACTTTTCATTTTATCAGTGGCAATTACTTGCTGTCTATCTATACCACAGAGGTCTTTCAAGGTACTTGGCACAGGATCTATTTACTCATTACCGACTTAGGTAATTTACAAATGCTTTCAGGGAATGAGAGGAATGAAGGATTTGACATGATAAACTGTCAGACTAGTTATTACACAGAAAAATGCAGAAGTGGTGATTAAGGAATCAGTAAAATAAGAGCTTTGGGGGAAATGACTTAAGAACAAAAAATGAATTTATATCTCCAACCAAACTGTGGTAGAAATTCAAACTACAAGGTTTAAAATAACTACTCCACCAGGAGCAACCCAAAGCCAGATGGCATCTGAAGTCAGCTCCCATCGCTTCTGCTCACCAGATCTGTTTATTCTGAACTTGCGAGCCAGGCCTCAACATCAGGGCCAGCATCAGGCTTTATACCGCAGAGGAAAATGGCTGTAGGCGTACTGGCAAAGAAGTCTTCAGCAGAATAGTTCTTCTGTCCTTGGATGCTTACTATATTTATCTTAGGCAAAGTCAACTCTTTTTTTTTTTTCTTTGCACCTTTTAAAAAAACACACATCTACAAATGCTCACTGAATTGGTGGTGCCAACTTTTTAATTGTGGTACAAATACATATAACAAAACATTTGCCATTTCCACATTTCGTGTACGATTCAGTAACATTAATTACACTCATCATGTTACGCAACGATCTCCACTACCCGTTGAAGAGGTTCCTTAATTTCAAATGAAGTGATCAGAGACAATTAAACAGTTTAGCAGTTTAGTTTCATCTCTCAGAGGATGAACGACAATAAGACTAGGTAAAAAATCTCCAATAACTCAGAGAAAATTAACAAAGAAACATCCAAGAATGATGCTACCTAGTTTTCAGACATACACACACATAAAGTGTTAACAGGAATTACATTAAATGATGTTTAATAGTCATTTAATGTAACAGATTGATGAAGTAAATACCGTGAGTTTGGAAATGTAATTCCTGGCATTTAGGGAGGTATTAACAGTCCAACAGTAGATTGTTTCAAAAAGGTGGCTAAAAGACGGGATGTACAATAGGGAAAAACAAGGAAGAAATGCATAGGCATGTTCATAGGATGGAACTGAGCATTTGGTGGGAAGCTGATGGAGCCCTGGTGGCGCAGTGGTTAAAGCGATCGACTGCTAACCAAAAGGTCGGCGGTTTGAAACCACCAGCGGCTCTGTGGGAAAAAAATGTGGCCATCTGCTTCCATAGAGATTTACAGCCTACAGAAACTCTATGGGGTTGCTTGGAGTTGCTATGAGTCAGAATTGACTCATAGCAACAGGGAGTTTGTTTTTTTTTTGTTTGTTTTTCAGAGATCATAGTCTAACCTCCTCCTCCGTGAAGAAGCCATTTCCCAAAGCCCTGATTATAGGAACAGGGTAGAACCGGGGTTCAATCAAATTTTCTTCTGAAATTTTTCACGGGTTATCCTTGGTGGAAGAAGAAAGGAGACCTTCTAGTCTAGAAGGTCAGGGCTGGGTGCTAGACCCCCGAGAACTGGACTAAACAGAAAGTGAAACGTACGACTTCTTTCAGAAAGTGTGAAAAGGATAATAGAGACTATTTCCTGGGTCTTTTACATGCGAGGAAATGATGTGTGAAGAGCAGCGCCTAATGGCAACGACAACATTGAGTAATTCCTAAAAAAGAAGACGAAGCAGAGTAATTCTGAACAGCGCTCTCTCTAGAATGGAGCGAAGGACTGCGCACTGTCAGACCGCCCACAGGGGGCGCTATGCCAAGGGCACCGTGATCCTATGACCACCCAGGAATGTACGGGTGTGACTTCATAGTCATTCCACACGCAGTTCTTTAAAAATAATGGTCAGAATCTCAGATACTAGATTTAAATTCATACAACTCTCATTTTAGCAAGATGATACATCCTTTTATTACAGGAAGTTTCATTTACTCGTTTTGTTTAACAAAACATTTACTGAAGGTTGATTTTATTTGAGCAACAGATTTGAGGAGCCCAGGATGAATGCAGGTGTGCAGGGTACAGGAAAGGACGTGAAGAAGGTATCAGTGGGCTCTGTTACAAATGGCGCTTACTTACCAGAAACAGACTCTGGCTGACCTCTGGGGCCATATTTACCTGAGCTATGACATCTGAGATTGAGGCACATCCCACCAGGAAACTGTATTTATGTTTTAAGAGAATGCCAGCATGGGTCCATGCCTGCCAGAAAGAAAAGAAATTGGCATGAGATGCACCTTAAGGTTTATATTGTTTCTGAGCATTATGATTTTTTAAAAATTTTATTTTATTGTACTTTAAGTGAAAGTTTACAATTCAAGTTAGTCTCTCATACAAATTTATACATATGTTGTTATGTGACCCTAATTGCTCTCCCTGTACTGTGACAGCACATTCCTCCTTTCTACCCCTGATTTCCCGTGTCCATTCAACCAGCTCCTAACCCTCTCTGCCTTCTCATCTCACCTCCGGACAGGAGCTGCCCATTTAGTCTCGTGTATCTACTTGAGCTAAGAAGCACACTCTTCACGAGTATCATTTTATGTCCCACAGTCCAGTCTAATCTTTGAAGAATTGGCCTTGGGAATGGTTTTAGTTCTAAGCATTATGATTTACTGGGAGTTCCTGAAGCACACTGTATACTCCCAAAAGCACGGCAGCACAGATCTGGTATGTTGGTAAAACTACCGTAACTTGGTCTGGTGGCTAGGTCTACATTAGATTTTTAAGCAGACTCAGTTACTGCACGGTATTTCTTTAGTACCAATTATACGCAGACTAGTGTATGTGTTAGGTTTGTATGCCTGGGAGGAAAACTGGATGAAGACCAAGACCGGTGGAAACACACCCTCTCTCTCAGGACAGCGTGAATGACGAAGCAGCGGCATTATACTGCTGATAATGAAGGCTCTCATTCGGTTCTGACTTATTACAATCATCAAGCGTTCTCATGCACTGATTAGGGTTATACTATTGTCTTCAAGTTTGGGCAGGATCTCATCTGACACTTTGTGTCTGGGGGTGGGGGGAGCTAAGGGGGAGGGGAGCCGACACTGAGAAGCCAAGAGAAGGGTGGGTTTGGAGAAGGTTTAATGTTCATGATAAAAGCTTTGTAAGGATCATCCTTCTTCCCTTTAAAGGCTGATTTGAACTGACACAGAAATAACACTGAATCTAAGCGAGATGCAATCAGACAGGTATCATTTATTCTCTAGTTCTGTGTCAAGACTTTGTACAGCAGCTGCTTTGTCTACTCCCTTTCTAGGCCCGAGGTGCCAATGTGAAAACAAATGCAAACTAGAGATAATGTTTGCAAACAGAGGCTTGTGGTCTGGTCTTTGATGTCTAAAAGCCATCTGGACGATAAGTTTTGTGGTTTTCAAATATTATCTCCCCAACCAACATGTCAGGGCCACACTGGTGGCGGGGTGAGAGAGGAGCAAAGAAAATGACCTGTTCTTTATAAGTTTTCATTATTCTGGGCTTTATTAGCAGTCTCTTGCTGCTATAGTGGAGTCTTTAGGGGGAATTTTTAGATGAAAGGGGGAAAGGGTACCAGTCACCAACGTTCTGGTATTCCACCGAATTTTAGAAACTCTGAGGGAAATAAATACAGCTGAAAGGAAGAGTGGAGCACAGCGTACTTAAGAGTCTATGATTCACTTTTACTAGGAGTCCCCAGTTCTCTGAATTCACCATATAACTGTAATTCTTCTATAGGTTTACAGACTTGCCACTTGCAACAGATGGGAGGGCAGGCATTAGAACAACATCATGGACTCTGTATAGGACGTTGAGCTTTAACACTTTCAGGATACGAAAAAGGACACTTCCTCCAGTTCTTTAATGGCTTTAAAAACTCTGGGGCACCACCATAAGCCAATCTGGTTTTAAGGACTAAAGCTCCCCGCTTTTTTCTTTTTTCTGAGTATGCATCAACTACTGGAGTAGATATACCTAGTGATAAGTAAGGAAAATCCAGGCACAATTATTCAGATGGCCCACTTCTCCCCACTAAAGTAACACAATGACAGATGAGAACCAGAACCATCACGTCACAACTAAACTAGTTTAGTATTTAAGGCCACCGTGTAAACCAGTAGAGATTCAATCAGGCGCACCAACAATCTAAGCACAAGTAAACTAAGACTTTGAGAGCCTTTCAGAAGACAGGCCATATGTATTTCTGCCTTGTCTCACCCCTCCAAGGATTGGAGGCTGCTGATTCACCTGGAAACAAACGTCCACTTGCCTCACGGGTCTAATGTCTGCAAAACTTGGACGTATATGGTGGTAAAAAACATCTTTAAAATAGAGTCCAAACAAAGGGTTTATTGTCCAGCATTGGTCATTATTGGGAATATTTTTCTTCGCTAAGACTCTCTATAACATAGATAAAAAGAAAACAGTATTAGCTGAGCATTCTTCATGATACGGGCAGGTTAATCTGGGAAAGTGAGCAGCTCTGAGGTAATGGAGTAAAGCTGGTCATTAAAGTAATGAAATCCTATCAGTATGTTCTAGAAAGCTGTAGGTGCTTACACCACCGAAGTCGTAAGTGTGTGAAAAAATCTATCCTGATCCCTTGATCCTGAATATATTAGAAAAGAACTTTGTATTTGAATCAAATTTTTAAAAAATGGGCTCTCCTGCCATCCACCAGAACTTGTGGCAAATACAGACGTATCTCATAAGATAAACTGACAAAACGGCCTGGCGGAAAGGCAACTGTGTTCTCTACTCACCATCGCATCCATAAAGGGGAAGGCAGCAAGGTACAGGAAGGCCCTTCTCGTCTTGCTCCCCACCGACTCATCCACGTGGTGCAGCTTATTGATGATGTAGTAGCCTAAGTCGCTATAAGCTGCACAGGGTCAAAAAATATACATGGCAATATTCAGAAAAAGCTAACCTCATGTGCTTTTTACCGCAAAAGTTTAAAAACAAATTTAAAAGGTAGTATTTGTACTTTGTAGAAAATTAGATAAGTAGAAGAAAATCACCTACAATTTCATCCTTTCACCCAGGAGGGTCCTGTGGACTTTGGGTTCTAATTGACCAGCTCTTTTATGGGTGTTTGTGTGTGGTGTGCCTGTGTATTGGAACATCAAAATGGGATCACACTAGTAGTCACCCCTTATTTGGGGTTTCACTTTCCAAGGTTTCAGTTACTCGTGGGTCAACTGCGGTCTGAAAATGTTAAACGAGTAGCATGACGAAGTCTCATGCCTTCCCACTCCATTCTGCATGGGGACCACGTTCACATAACTTTTATTACAGTATATTGTTATAATTGTTCTATTTTATTATTAGTTACTGCTGTTAATCTCTTACTGTGCCTAATTTGTAAATTAAACTTTATCACAGGTATGTATGTATAGGTCAAAACATAGTATATATAGGGTTCGCTACTATCTGCAGCTTCAGGTAACCATGGGGGTCTTGGAAGGTATTCCTCGTGGATAAGGGGGGACTACTGTATGTGTAAAACCTGTTGCCATCAAGCAGATTCAGACTCATAATGTCCCCACATGTGTCACAGTAGAACTGTTCTTCACAGGGCTTTTAATAGCTGATTTTTTGGAAGTAGACTCCCAAGCCTTTCTTCCAAGGCACCTCTGGGTGGACTCAAACCTCAAACCTTTTGGTTAGCAGATAAGTGCAGTTAACCTTTTGCACCACCCAGGGACTCCCACACAACATGCGCTCCTTTGTAACTCTTTCTCTTGGCAAGTGTCTACATTTTAATGGCAGCCTAGACTTCCCTTTTGTACATTTACTTAGTATCAGTTTACTTAATCTCTTATTGTTGAACATTTAGGTCGTTTTCATCATTTTGATATTATAAAAAAAAGCCTGATGAATAGGTTTGAAGCTAAATGTTTACACATATTTGTTATTTACTAAGAGAAAAATCTTAGCTATTAATAAACCTTTTCAATAAAAATTTTAAAGCTAGCTTTTTACCACCTGTCATTCCTTTTAGTTCTTTATTTGGGGAGGACGGCTGGCAAGTTTGGGTGCAGTCCTACCCAGAGGAGAAAGGACATCCCAGAGGAGCTCTTGAAGTCCCTCTAGTCTCAGGACTTTTTATCAGCGCGTGACTGGAACAAAACAGGCACTCAACCAGTATGGGCTGGATGAATGTGAACGTGTCTAACAGAAAGGAAGAAGAAAAGGGTCTCCCTCCCCAATGTATCATCAAAGAAATCAGACAAACATTATCAGCAAAGATTAAATAAGATATTCAGCTATGTCCTACCTCACTGATACATGTTTAGACTACATATGAAAATAGTAATTTCTTATTTTTTCATAGTGCTTTTACATGGTGCTTTAAGAGGAGGTGTTCCTACTGTTTTCATCCTTTTATAAATACAGATATGAATGTACTTGACAACTGAAATCAGAAAGGTGACAGAGTGCAGGAAGGGTCTCACTTGATGTGAAATAATAAGACCCCTCCCCCAATACTTCAAAGTTTGGAGGATGACTTATTACCACATTAACTGGTAAAAAGAAGTAAGCCTCCTCCCTTGGGGAAATCAGTCTTGAACTATGGGGATTTTGAATTACGTGAGGTCTTCGGGATAACATCAAGGACATTTAAATGCACATATGGGAATCCCAGGAGGAGGGAGAGATGCAAGTGAGTGATTTCGAGGGTCGGAGGCTGTCACGGCAAAGACATCAGAAAACAAGGCTGGACAGTCAGGTGCAGGAGCAGGGGTACCAGCCCCCAAGGAGGGGCAGACGTGAAAACCCAAAAGGCGTGCAGCCAGGTGTGGTGTGTGGAGGGGCCGTCAGAGCCACTGAGGCAGCACGACAAAGAGAAAATCAGGCAGGACCACGTCCCGTGACAGGGAAGGAAGAGCTCCGGGAAGATGGGATTAGTTACGGCGGGGACGTCGAGGGCAGGGGCTGCTGCGATGTGCCGTCCTTCTGACCCGAGGACTCACAGAGATGAAAAGCGGATTACAGGAGGCTTGGTGTGAGACCAGAGGCAGGGATGGAGGCCACATCAGATTTTGCTTTTGCAGTGAGGTAACCGAGCGCACTCAGACATGCGCTGAACTGACAGACAACGCTAGGCCAGAGTGAACTTGTGGCCTAACCGCCCACACGGTCCACTTTGGTGCCGTACCTGGCATTCGTGCCTCCAGGTTTGCTGTTGCTTGCTGTTTATTTGTACTTTTGTTTTCATTCAGTCAACAAATGTTCCCTGTGCTGGGACTGCATGGACACTTCCCACCCAGGACATACACTGCTGTTCCTGCTCTACCGGAAGGGCCATAGGCATTGGCAGAGGCGGCCTTGCTGGGTGAGAGCAGTGCAAGGGCGTGGGGCTGGCTACAGAGAGCCCGCAAGCGGGAGCGCCCTGGCCACGGGGCAAAGGGAGAGTCAGTGAGAAACAACCGCCCAGTGCACGCATATGTAGCGGCAACGCTGGGAGCACCAGAACCTGTGAAAAGCTGGGATCCAGAGGGTGGCTAGAGAGAGAGAGAAAGACGAACTATCTTCATGTTAGTCTCTTGGGTAGCTGCAAGAAGAGACAGGACATGGGAGCCTTCGAGAGTGGGGTATGAAGTTTGCTTATGATGCCCAGTGTTATGGATTGAATCATGTCCCCCCAAAACATGTGTTGAAATCCTAACCCCTGTACCTGTGGATGTAATGTAATGTAATATAATGTAATGTGATGTAATGTAATGATCTTCCATAATGCAACCCAATGTTATGTTAATTAGGCCATGCCAGCATAGGGCGGGTCCTAAACCTAATCACTTCTGAGTTATAAAAAGGACAGATTAGACACAGAGGCAGGTGCGCAAACTGGGGAAGACAGATGCCACTTGAGTATCGCCAAGGAATCGAGGAACACCCAGGGCTACTGACAAGGAAGAATCGACAAGACTGAGACCCTGACTTGGACTTCTACCCTCCAGAACAGAGAAAATAAATTGCTGTTCTTTAAATCCACCCCTTGTGGTATTTGTGTTATAGCAGCACTAGGAGACTAAGACATCCAGAAACGTCAAGATCAATATAACTTCTCTTCCCTTTGTAAATATACCTATTTATTACAACGTTTTAACTAAAACATCAAAAACTTCCCTTACACAGGGTGAAAGTTTAACAGAGTCTGAAGGCCAGCTGACTGGCCCCGATTGCGAGCCCAGTTTTCTGACTGTGAAAATGCATGCCCCCCTCTCTCCCCCACCTTGAGCACCCAGCTCGAGCTGGCTCTTCCTGCTCCCCAGGTTTCCGGGCACTGGGGGACCTATGGACCCAAGGCTGCCTTTGCTTCTTTCTCCCAAGCTGTCTTACTTGCTCCTGTTCCTCCCCTACAGAGTAGAAGACGAAGAATCTGAGTATAACTACGGAGAATCTTTCCACTCTGTGAGTGTAAAATCCCAGCAACTGATTCGCGTGCAATCTCTCCCTGTTTCCACCCAGATCCCCTCCCCCAAGCCCACGAGCCACTTCTAACTAGAGCTGTTGGCTGGGGATAATTTGTTTAAAGTGTTTTGCATATAGTCCGTAATTACCAGGCCAGCTGCCTTAGCAACATTTAGTAACCTTCAGCTTCTATAAATTGCCTTACCAAGATTGTTCTGAAACAGCCTGTATTCCTTAAGAAGAGCAGAATGTTTTAAAAATATATATTAAATATGGTTTTTGAGCAGATGCAAATGGATTTGATGATGGGGGTAGCATGAGGATACTGACTTGCCCTATTTACAGGCTGACAGCTTTAACTAACCTAACTAACCAACTGCTGAGGAGTTGCCTCTGACTTGTGGAGAGCCCATGTGTATCAGAGTAGAACTGTGCTCCATATGGTTTTCAGCAGCTGATTTTTTGGAAGTAGATCACCAGGCCTTTCTTCTGAGGTGCCTCTGTGTGGACTCAAACCTCCAACCTTTGGTCAGCAGTGTGTTAACTGTAGGCACCACCCAGGGACTCCTACACAGCTTCAACCCTGCCCAAACCAGGAGAAATCAAAGGGTCATGCAACTGCAGCTCCCCCAACCTCAGCCAATGGGGATGACAGACCATTTTCCGAATCAGTGGTTCTCAATCTTTCAAACTTGTTCTCCCCGTAGTTACTAACACTTGTTGCAAAATGCCATGAAATATTAATATTAACTGAAACAATTCCATATACACAATTTTCCATGGGATCTGAGGAAAAAGATTTTTTTCCGGCATTGTAATAACAGGATAATATATGTCTTTCTAAGAGGCAAATTTGAGAAAATTTATTCTAATTCAAGGAGTCCCTGGGTAGCACAAATGGTCAATGCTTGGCTGCTAACCAAAAGGTTTGAGTCCACCCACAGGTACCTTGGAAGAAAGGCCTGGCAATCTACTTCTGAAAAATCAGCCATTGAAACCCTATGGAGCACAACCAATGAGTTGGAATCAACTTGACAGCAACTTATTTATCTATTTATTTACTGGTTTTATTCTCATGAAAATTCTCGAGTTCTCAATGCCTAAAGATCTGACAAATACTATTTATTGACCCACTATGTAGGGTCATTATGAGTCGGAATCTACTCGACGTCAGTGGGTTTTGTTTTCTTGGTTTTGGATGTTCTGTTTAATAGGCTTTTCACAGGAGCAGGTAATGTCACACCTGGCAATGTATCAATTCCAAAGTGTGTGTGATTATATATGGCTGATTAAAAAAAAAAAAACCAAACTTGTTGCCGTTGTGTCGATTCTGACTCATAGTGACCCTATAGGACAGAGTAGAACTGCCCCATAGAGTTTCTAAAGAGCACCTGGTGGATTTGAACTGCCAACCTTTGGGTTAGCAGCCATAGCACTTAACCACTACGCCACCAGGGTTTCCTT